GCGGTGAAGGAGCGGCGCCCCGGCCCCCTCCTCCTTTTCCATCTCTCCCCTTTCGCTGCGGTTCCGCCGGGGAAGCCGCAAGTTTCCAAGTCAAAACTCAACTTCCCTTCAGGCAGCCAGCGCTCACCACCCCCTCTCCCCCCGTCGCTGCCCGGGACTGTTGCGTAAGCGAAGTCTTAGGGTGATTTTGGGCTAAGGGAAGTGATTTAATGACAGCCTGCAAATACATTGTAGGGCAAAATTACAGCTTGGCATGTTCAGGACAGGAAAAAAAATGCGTATTTTTAACAGCAAGGTTAATTGAAAGTCTTGGGTATGCTAAAGACTCACAAGACGGGTAACAAGACTACCTGTCACAGACTCATCGCTCACCTGAGCGGTAAGAAACCCTCCGCTGCTGCGTTTCACAGGCAATAAGCAAACAGATCATTCGGGACGCCCCACAGGTGCATTTATTCAAGTGCAGAACAGAGCAACAGATGCACATCCGAACCCCTGCTCAGCGCTCGTGAGGATTACCTTGTGCGAGACGGGAAAAGGGAAGCCCAGAGCAAAGCAGCTGCCCCTCACCACGCGGTAGCTGCACGCCTGTGACGCGACCGCAGAGCTCCACGGCTTTCTGCGCACCTAGCTTCCCAGCAGGCTCTCCAGCCCTGATGCCTGGGGCAAAAATTGCAACCTACAGCAGCTAATTACATTGGGTATGTCAGCTTAGCATCCCAAGACTTAAATTTTCTTAGGAACATTTCAGCTATCTAGCTCTGAAGTACTTACGCAACTGGCAAGGGAGAAGAACAGAAGCAACCATGAACATCCTCTCTGAGCACGCCTTTACGATTCATAGCTCCGTTAACTGCTTTTGATTTGTGATCTCAAGCGTACCCGAGTTAGCTGTAAAGCAGGCTTACAACGATTATTTTCATTGAAACACTCGGGCTTCTGAAACTAATCAGAACTCATGTTTGTTTATAACGCACATACTTAGTAAGAAGGAAGTTCCAAAGAAACTTCTGAGCCTAAAACCATTTATTTAACATAAACTTTTGTATTTGACAAAATGTACACATCTGTTTCAGAAGGTTTAGCAAATGAAATAAAAATTCTTACAGCTCAATGGTACACTTTTATACACTATTTACATTTTACTAGTTACAATATTGAATATGAAGGCTGAAGGAATTGTCTGTTTCTGGGCTTTGGGGGTGCCATAATCCCCAGTTTTCCCCCAGTTCCTTGCATGACGCTAACACTGTACGACGCTGAACTGTAGCCGGGTGAAGCTGGAGCCTTGGAGTTGGATGTCTTTTTGCTCCTTCTGTACTTGCTGTAACCACTACAAAATTCAGAGAGAAAATCACTATTACAGTATTTATGGTATGTTATGCATTGTAAATTTGTACATGTGCCAAACATCTGGTTTACTTGCCACATTCCCTGCCCATGCTGTATTTACATAGTTCCATACCACAATTAGATTTTCTGTTTTCGTTAAAAGAAGTTTTCTAACACACATGGCTGCATAAACACCTTTGAAATGGAAATCAAGTGTAGCTGTTACTCTGACATCTGCCTAAGGGTGAAAAGCAGCCTGAAAGATGGACACAGACTGCTGAGCCAACCTGACTCCTATTAATCCAATTAGAGTATCAACTTTAAATGACACTTCAGGATCAACAGCATTTAATGACTAAAATTTGAGTAGATGGGAAGGTGAAGAGGGTGGGAATAAAACCTACTGAGCTGGGAGCTGTTATTTACTGCAAAAATTAAAGACCAGAATGAGTTCAAATGGGGCAGAGAAAGAGATACACTTGGAAAGAACAAACAGCAGCAGCAAACAACGAGTTTGGAATAAGGTAGACCCTGTTTTCTCTTTGATATTGAACACAACATTAGAGCCACAAAAAGTCATTAATATATCAAGAAAACTTAATAGTGTTTAGAATTAGGCACAACTTCAAGTGGGGCTTTTAGTATGTCTTTTGCAGAGCACGCTGTGTTGCTCTTGCGAGTGACCTGAATTCTTCCATGCTGAAAGATAATCCAATTTCTGTGATATGTATAGGCTGCATACCGCTGCACTAAAAGAATGACTTAAGAAATGCAAGATTTCAGCTTGCCTGCATAACCACTCTTCTGCACCTCGTGTCCTCTGACTCATATAGGAAGCGAGGTAGACTTTCCAGGTGCAGGGGAGAAAGGGTTACAGTTGTGTAACTTGACGATACCACAGTATTAGTAACTCTAACTTCCTTTTTGTGCAAAGGAAGATACAAGCACGGCATCTGTTTAAAAGGCATGACTATAAAAGACATTTTTGCTGAAGTTTTCTGATGTCATTTTCCCCCTCCTCTTTTTAAAGAGCATTTAGGGAGGGTGGAAGTTCCTCAACCATTATCCTTTTTTCTTTTGCTTCCTTCTCAGCGGTGATCAATCACCATGTTTCAAAGTATGAACCTTCATAGAGACTGTTACTACTTGAGTTACAAAACTATACAGGAATAACAAATGAACTAATAAAATAAGGACTTTATCTTAAAGGGTGAGGCCCAGCCTGGCGCTTTCATCACCCTGTGAAGGTTCAGTGACAGATCGACCCTAGAAGCTCAAGTAAGACGAGGTTCCTGGGCCCAGACTTCATGGTCTTGATGCAGGTTTTGTCTCGCATGGTACAATCAGAGGGAGAAGCTCTGAATTAACAAGGGGCAGTGCACTGAAGCTCAGCTGTTCCACCCAATCCTGGAAGTTTTAAACGGTCTGCCATTTCCAAGTACAAGATCCAGTCAGTTTGCTAATAATAATTATGGCAGTACAATACCAGCACCCTGAAACGTAATGTGACTGCTTACTCTGTGGCAGTCAGGAAAGACAAAAGAAGGATGATTTTTAAATATCCTTTTTCACCAGAAGCATTTTAAACAGCAAGTGCCAGAAAACCAAAGTAGAGGGTTTGCCACCAGCTGCCTGGATAATTCCAATGCCATTCCTTGTTCTTAGTTGAGGTACGCAGTGTCTCGTACTTGGATAAAGATAATTTTTAGAGGGTAAGCACAAATATCTTTTCAGGCTCAGTCAAAAAGTAAAAATGTGATCGTCTGCCAAATTATGCCTCTTTCACGTGAGTTAGGCTAGGATATTTATGGCTGTGCTCTAGCTCTTTATAACTTGAGCGTAGTCTTTGGGAAACAACTGTCAATACAAGAATAAAAGCCACATGTTGCTGAAAGGAATTGGGAAGCGTTGTCTTTGCAACTACTGCGTTATTCGAATAATTATTTTGGGGAAAGGACAGCAATGCTGCTGAAAGGAACTGTGAATGAAACTTCCGTTAAGAAAGTTACTCACTAGCTGACATAATTAGGGCAGAGTTAAGGTTGTCCAGGTAACATCTGTGCTTTCCAGCTTCCTTATTTTTTTTAAAATTAACATTTCCCTCTATTTCATTTTCTAATTTCTAATTTATGTTCCTTTAAAATAGTTATGTGCAAGCATTACATAGTAAAACATCATCCAATATCAGAACATAATTTAGATTATTAAGAGGAATAAACGATACCAACACTTCTATAGGTTCATTTCGCCATTGACGCCGCTTTAGTAGAAGCTTTAAAAGGAACCACCGTTATATTGTGGTTTATTCTAAATTTAAGCAACACGCAGTCTCTGCCTCCACACTGTGAAATAACTTAAAATATTTCTTCACGGCAGAAGTGTAAAAAATCAATAGTGAACAGCTATCCTTCATACAGAACCTGCAAAGCTGTTGACTACGCTTCTTTTTGTGCATGATGTCATAAACTGCATCGTCAGTGTAAATTTGCATAGGTTTAAGAGCAATAACATAAACCTAGTTATCTTTACAAACAGCCCAGCAGGAGCGAGCAGGAAAACTACATGCCTACAGATGGCAAAAAGGACATGCCAGTTAAGAAAAAACAATCCACTGTAATCAAACTTCAAAGATTATCTTACAATCTAATTCCAGGTGAGTAAGCGAGAAGTATGAAAGTACACTGACAGTGCACCTCTAATTTGCCTTGCATACCAAAATTTCAGACAGCGGAAAGGTACTTCATAAAAATCATGGCTTATTTTTGCAGCAGCTTCTGCTCCTGATATAAATCGAGAAGCTGTATGTTCAGTATGTTACCTTCTCGGAAATAAAGATTTTGCATTGCAGCAGAGTGACAAAGGTAAACATTGGCATTAGTAGAACTGGTGTGGTGGTGCACCATACTGAAAAGCCTCAAATTAACATTTAATGAACTAGAACTAACTACAAGCAGCGTACCCTTTGGAATGAAACTGCTGGCTACCACCATTACTTGACTTCTTCCTCTTGGATTCTCTGAAGTTTGGCAGCCTTTTCCTTTTCTTTCCTTGGTTTGTATGATTGCGAAAATAACTTGAAGTTGTAACTACATCTTCTGCTTCTTCATCACTCTCAAGCGTTCCGGTGCTTCCTGCAGCTGTGTCCCCGCTTTGGCAAGCGGCATCATCTACAGAGAGACAATGAATTGAAACCAAAGAAAACAAGACTTTGCCTGAACCAGTCAGAACCGTCAGCCAGAACAAACCAATTCTAGCAAGCTTCTGCCCTTGCTGTTCAAAACCTCTTTGCACAGCTTTTATCCTCGCAGTGCTCCGGGCTCATTTAAAGACCTTTCTTAGGCTAGTGTAAAGTAAAACAAGAGGCTATTTTGGTTTAGCTCATCATGACATACAAGAATACGGACCAGCCCTATTTTCTCAAGCTCGATTTCTTGTCTAAACTATGTTGGTAACGCTGGGCTTTCTCCCTTCGTACTCTCTTCCCTGTGTCAGCTGGACAAGAATTAGGGAATATACCATAATACTACTGTCAAATATGGCACTTCTTTTTTTAAAAAAAGCAGCAGGAGACACTGAAGGGCTCAGACAGATAGCGAAGAGCTCCTTCTCAATCAGTCATGATCAAGAGGAACGTGATTCTTCGCACGCGCAGCAGAATAAAACGCTTTTTAAAAAGGCCAGGATTGTAGACATGCACTTAACACCTGCAGTTATTAATACAGCAATAAGAAAGAATGGCCTCCTCAAATGTAACCATAAATCACTTGAAAACTGAAGGCCGCAATGTCAAATCTGATAGCCAAGCTGTACTGAATATTTGAATTGCAGCACAGGCTACAAATGCTATACTCACATTAAGTTACTAGATTTCTCAGTCTCGGGGCTCAATTCTCCATTGAGCTGCACTTTGTGTTTTAGGTTATAACTGCGCAAAGGCACTGTAAAACACAATCGTTCTGACTTGATAGCTTTTTTAACACCTATTTTTGGAAGTTCTTTACATTTGAGTAAGGACTAGTCAGCGCAGACCTGGATGCGCTGACCTATGAAAACTAAAAGGCAGTAGTTACAGATTACCTGTCACGTTACAACACTACGCCATATGTAGTTGACAAGAGTGGAAACATATAAAGGAGGTACTAGCCTTTTAACTTCAGGGTTATTAGCCTCAGTATAATTAAGGTTCTTAATAACTAACAGGTAACGAGCAAAGCAGCAGTTTTTGTTTACCTCTTGTTAGCCTCTTACAGCGATGCTGAATTTTTCTCTGTTTCCTCACGAAAGACCTTTTTATCCCCCAAAAACATGCAATTGTTCCCTCTTTGTAATTACTGAATTGCAAGGGTTAATGACTTAGGTTTAAAACAAGATAACTTTTTAGTGGAGCTTCTTACCGAGAAAGAGGGAGGGTGTTAAACAGGAACACACACATATAGATACAAAGGATACTAAACCTGGTACTGTCCACTCGGAGTACTTATCCATCACTTTAATTATTTCTGCACCATATTTTTCCAGTTTATCTTCTGTGACACCATCAATCTGCAGCAAAACCTCCACATCAGATGACAGGGTTTCTATAAATAAATATAATGTAACAAAATACGAATGAGATACATCAAACAAAGCTGTTTAAGATGAGATAACACCAGATGAAATAAGAAAATTCAGATAAGAGCACAGGCAAATTGAAAAGCAACGTTCAGAGAGGCGTTTCTGGGGTTTTGTTACAATAAGAACATAGGTGTTCCATTAGGAACGATGGAATTAGAAGTTCACATCTGCAGACTAAGTGAACAAAGTCTCAAATGCTTTAAGATTTGTTTCAGGTATTCAATAAAGCAATAGTAATTTGAGCGTTACTTATGGCCTCTGCCACAGGTTTTAAGAGAGATCATAGACTCTCCTAATATTCAGTAGAATATTCTGAAGCAAATTCATTCCTTTTAGTGCCACGGTACGCACTAAGCCCCCAAGAAAGGAAGCCTTTATTTTAGTAGATTTACTTCTAGCTGGTTAGCACAAAAACTAGTGAAAAAGATTGTTCTAAAACTGCTTCAAAGTTTGTTTCGCAGTGTGATTACTTGGCTGTCTACTGTACCTAACCAGCAGGACCTGCTACAGCACAAAATACATCTCCATGGGATCTATGCTGTGTCAGCTATTGCCACGGGACTCGCTCAGTTAAGGCGCATATAAACTGGTCCTCTGAAGATGTTGGAAATGCGGAGTCTTTTCTGACAGAAAATCTACAATTGCAAATGAAGTCTACTGCCTATAGCGGTTCCAGTTAGTGAAAAGCTGACCTTACCTGCTATTTTCTTGAGAGTTGAAGTACTGAAAATGTTGAAGTAATGCACATCAAACACTTTCCCAAGAGTTTTGCATGTGTCTGTAAGTTCCCCAAGGCACTTTTTAACCATCTCTTCCCGCTGTGACATTTTGGTCACAGAAGCCCTTTGCTTTCTAATGGTACTGGCACTTTCAGTTTCGTGGAACTCCACCTGTTAAAATAAGCCAATCAATAACTTCCGTCAGGGAGTTACTGCAGTCAGGAGACTGACTGATTGCACAGGAGAACAGTGAAGAAAACAAGAAGTATTGTTCAACTGAACCAAAAAATGCTATTTATGCAGTACATATTTTTTAAATGGTCTTTTTTTATAGGCTACTTCATAAACAGTAATTCTCAACCGCCCTCAAGCGTCTTCTACAAAGAACTAGTAAAGTGAGCATACACAATATGGCAGGGGGGAACAAAAACAAAACTGAAAACCCAACACAGCTAGCTTTGAGTAAAGGTCACTAGGTCTAATGCTGAGGGGCCTTCTCTTCTACAAATACAGCGCTAGGGCGGAGGAGACGTTGCTTCAAGCAACTCTGGAAGAGCGTTTTCCTCCAGAGCACACCAGTTACTAGAAAAAATAGAGCAGAAAACGTTATAGAAGGTAGTGCTGTTCCTTTTCCCTTCTTAGCTAGTTCTTTCTGTGTTGGTCATCACCTTTTCTTCTTGTTAAGATGGAATCAGATGGAAGGGGGAGGAAAAGAAAGCCTTAAACCTCCCCTATCTTCTCAAATTCACCTTTTGCCTCATGGCATTATTAGAATACTGAAGTAGAAATTACGCTTGTTGGATTCCGTTCCCTGCACGTGCTAAAGGTTAGCTCCACTACATCCATTTGTAGGCAAATTATGTTTAAGCTATCCTAGAGTAAATGCCGTATAAAAAACGTAGCATGTTCCTTACCTGTAGTAATCCATCTAGCACAGCCCGTGCTTTCTCTCCTAGAATTACATACGCTACAGCTTGGTCATTAGCTGTGATATACAAGTCTTCATCCAGAATCTTGTCCAGGACCAGTTTTCTAAACAGTCTTTCAACATTATGCCTTGAGTAGGCAGCCCCCTTCCCAAATATTCCAGACTGAATCTTTGCGCTCTTTGTACCTATGCAATAGGAGTAACAGGATTAACCTGCAATAAGAAATCCTACATACATATATATTTACAGACCCGTGGAAGACTCCCAAGTGATATTCCACAGTTTGGGCCCAAAAAACAAAACACAAAAAACAAAATACAAAAAAGGCCCCAAACATGTAAGCACTAGAAACCCTAAGCGCCACCAGAAAGCTAATAGTAGCGCTAGAGCCACCTGAAAGCGATTAAAACTTTAGTCTCGTTTATTTTGGATACTTTAACACCTGCAGCTTCCTGGGAAAAATAACTTTGCCAAATATGTCTTGCTTTTAAACCACTGTGGATGCTACATGGACCTTCTGAGGCTTAATCGAGATCTGATGCAGCAAGTCTAACAGTACTTACCTAAGAAAATGTCAATCATCATATTCAATGTGTATCTTCCAGAACCTGTATTTCTCTTCGCATTTATTCCTCCCATTTGTCCACAATGCTCCTGCACAAATCTTATAATGCTTTTCACTTCATCCGTTACGTTTCTTGATTTGTAATCCTATTCAAATAGACTTGATTAGGAAAAAAGTGATTTGGTTCTATTCTAATGCAAGTTGTTACTGCTATTTCCTAGTTAGCATATGCACAATGATATCACATAGTCACGGGAATTCTGGATTAGATAACACTCTGAAAATGCAAGAAGATAAAGACCTACCAACCGATTGCATATAACGCCTATTATGTTAATTTTATACAGTGAGCTGCAAGATTGCCAAGTGAGTACTAGTAATCATAGTTAATTTTTTTTTTTTAAATCACTCCTATAAGCATTCTGCTGCAAAGCACTAGAATTTACACTTCCAATGCACGTTAACATCAGGAGACTGGACTGAACATACGTTATTCTAGCCAAACTTTATTACAATCACAGATGTATAGGGTAACGCTTCAAACACAGGACTGAGAAGCAACATCCTCAGCTATAACAACACTGATCTGGTTTACAGAGACCCGCAGCCTTCCTCATAGCTTTCCCCATTGTAAAAAGGGATCATACTAGCCCTGTGATGATACTAGGACCTTTAGCATTTGGGTCGTTTCAGCTCTACTCAGTTTAAATAACAGATTGAAGTATGCATGTTGCAGGGGAACTTAACCATATCACATATTTCCAACAGTAAAAAGTTAAATATTGGAGGAAAGCTTCCCAAGCGCTGGAGCGCAATGCCTTACCACAAAAAAAAAAAAAAAAAAAATTCAGGTTTTCTTTGCCATGCAGCATGTATCTGACTAGAAAATACTGCTTTGCCTATGATGCCCTGCTAAAAAAAAAAAAAAAGGGCTTAGAATACCTAGAATACCCAATTCCACACCTAAAATAAACAAATCCTTGTTGCTGAACGTATTTTTTTTTCTGAAAAGATCAGATAATCAAAGATAGTCTAAAATCCTATGTAAGAACAGCAGGAAAAGATGAAGCAACTATTCGATGTCCACTTCAACAGCTATCTTCTGTTGTACTCCTGTTCATGCTACTGACTAGGTTGTTTCGAACTTTGACACGCAAACCCTGCTCTTTGGGCCACCTCCAAGCAGTATCCTCCCCCCTGACGTGGCATGCACGTGCTACAAAGCAGCACAAAGCAGCCTTGAAAACATCAGAATAGACAGTTTTCCTGAATAGACACAATTACCAAAGAAGCCACACTAGAGGAACATCCTCACACCTCATCAGTACTTCTCTGACGGAAATAGGAGCTTAAGTCCGTGGATAGGTGGTGTAATTCTACTAACGGTTAAACCTCGGAAATTATTCAAGGCATCCAGCATCACAAAAATACAAAACATCTCATTCATCGTCTCTATTTGCCTGCACAAATGGAACGTTAGCATTTTTAAAGCAACCATACAAAATCAGTTTGACGATCCTATAAATAAGAGCCACGTTTTTTACCTTCTTTCTACTGCAGTTATCACAGGTTACTTCTGGGTGATCTTTACAAAAGTTAGGATTAAAGTTAGTTTCCCCGAAGTAGGCCAAAAGCTGAATTCTTCGGCAATCAACTACATTCTCACAGTAATGAACCATACTGTACAGGTTGTTAAAGTGGGTCTGTCTGGTGTGAGTGTTTCCATCTTTTTCCACTGAAATGCAATAAATTCAATTGTATCTGTTATATCTGCACTTCTGTCCTTTTAGATATTATCAGACGTACTTTTTTGAAGCAACAAAGAATATTTTGTTTTGTCTGAGCAAGTTAGTACAGAATAAAGCTAGTACAGATTTTTACCTCCGAAGTTTTAAAGAGTGGAGAACGGAAAGAAACCCAGAATGACAAAAATCAAGAGACAGCTACGTATAAAACAACCCGTTTTGACGAAAATTAAGCACAAGTGACAAAAACGTTTCAGTTCAGAAAATCACTCAAGTCAATAATAAAATGAAGATGCAGGGTTCTCCCATCTCTGCAATACAATACCATACACGGTGCTTCTAAATGACAAAATAAAACAATCTAAATGAAAGAAACCAGTGACCAAGTAATTTGTTTACTATTGTGTCATTAAGTTACGAATACAAGATTTCACTTACTTAGTATTAGCCTCCTAAGTCTGGTTACATCACTGTAACTGTAGAAAAGCAGACAGTGAGACATTTCACCATCTCGTCCAGCTCTGCCAGATTCTTGATAATAACCTTCTATAGATTTAGGGAGTGAGGCATGGATAACATAGCGTACATCAGGTTTATCAATTCCCATTCCAAAGGCAATTGTTGCACATATAACCTACAATAGAAATAATAATTTGTTATATAAAGGTCTGAAAGCTATTCATGGAGAGCTATGCACCAAAAATAGATATGTAATCAAAGCTTATGAAACTGTGCACAACGTAGAATTTAAACTGTAATTGCAAGAAGAGTACAAAATAGCAAAAATATCCCTGCTTCTTTCAGAAGAGCTATCCAAGACAAATTGAAAACTCAGAATTCTAGAGGCTCAATATAAATTTCAGCAGCATGCCTACAGCTGTTGCAGAAGCCTCACACAGCTTGTTTTCTTCCTCCCTGAGTGTCGTAACTCAGTGCAGTCCTGCAGCTTATTGGAAATTTTTTACAAGCCAAAATAACGCTTACGTTTTGACAGATCTGACCGGTTATTTCATATTGCATCTAGTTTGGCAAAAACGTTACAAGTCTTTGTTTTCATTTACTAGGTTAAGAGGGATAAGAGTACTCTAAGTTCAGTGCATTTTTTTTTTCCATTTGCTTTTCTGTTACCTGGCATCCTTCTTGATTAATCCACTTTTTTTGTACAAGATCTCTGTTGGAGTCAGTGAGGCCAGCGTGATAAGCAAGTGCAGCAAGACCCTCCTTCTGCAGAATGGCAGCTGTTGTGTCACATTCATGCCGTGAAAGGCAATAAATTATCCCAGAGTCATCTGCCAATATAAAAAAGATTTGTGCTTTCTTCCCTTTCACTCGGCTTTAAACAAATACATTTACTCCGATAAGGAGAGGTTGGTGAGAGCAACGGAACAACTGTTCGTAAAGAGACATTGGTCTTATTAACACTAGATGTTGTTGTTAATTTCTCCCCACTCGACTCCATGTGTTTTCGTGGGGCGAGATCAAGAGAAGATTTCCTGCTCAGTACTATGCAGTCTGAGGATTTAAACTCCATAAATGAAGATCGACATGAATAGAGCGCTAGAGCAGTTTAGCAAATGATGCACTGGGTTACAGCAACGAAGAAGCTACAAAGGGAATTTGTTGTAGTCGATTCCCAGCAGCCGGAGCCGCACGATTCCACGAGAGCCTAAACGGACAGGAGTCGATGGAGATGTCTTCAAGAGGAACCACAGCTAAGCAGGCCAGCAGAATTAAACAATCAAAACCTTACGGATATTAGATGACCTTTATACTCTGAAGACGTGACTCTGAAGGATCTGACGACTCCAGAAAGATTACTCAAGAGTATTACCATAATCTCCTTTTTCATCTTGAGATCCTAACTTTAGGATGTTTGTAAATCTGAATCCCAATATCAGCAATATAATTCCGTCTCAAATTTGTTCTTCTAAACATATTAGCAGTTTCAAGAAGGCATAAGTTTGGGGGGGTTTCACAGTATTTATAAAAGCTTTTCCTGCCTTAAAAAGTAGTTGACAAAAACGTATACAAGCACGCTATGTTGCTCAGTACTCACATGGATGGTGTTTTCTGATCCATTCTAAGCAATCCATTGCCACCTTTTTTGGCTTCTTGGGCAGTACATCGTATTTCAAGTTATGCCTGTTGAAGCTCATTGTAAACCTAAAACATGATATTTGCATGATTTTAAAACTGACATGCTTGTCAGTTTTAAGGTACAACAGTCCTTTCAACAAGCTCAGAACTGACTGGAACATCTCAAATTCAAGCAACTACTATTTGTTCTGTGCGTTTACAAAGGAATTATTGTTCCACTTTGACCCACTGAGATTCATTTCACACAGACTTTGGATCTGAAATTACTTCATCAGCTGAAATATCCCTGCATTTTTCCTATGGCTGTGGAAAAAAAAGAAAACTACATGGCAGTATGCAAGTCATGAAGGAAGAAACGCCTGTAAATCTAGCAAGCACACAGTGATTTGCCTCCCTTTCATTTTCCTTTTTATGTATTTGCATCCGCATCAAACTTTTCAAATTTGCAGAATACTGTCACCTCCTCTATCTTCTACCCTGAAATATATTTCTAAAATAAAAAATTTATAACCAAATAGAAGCGTTTTACTTTTCATCATATACAATGAAAACACTACAACACAATCCAGATCCCAATGGTATCTTCATTTCCTGTTACTTCCAATGTTAACTAAGAAACACACCTCCAGCTTTTGGAGTTTTCCAGCGTTCTCATGAAAAGCACCCTAAAATACAACTTTCACATCTTGTCAGTGACAGACAAAATTTCAAGATGATATTTTCTTTTAAAGAGTTTCTCAAGGAAGAGGTTTTTTTTTACAAGTTTTTTTCCTCTCAACGTAGTATTTTGCATTGGAGGCACGTTAAATTCCACGCATATGCTCTCATTAAATCAGATACAACTACAAAAATATTTCCGATGAATCTTTATGCTTTTCTTTCTTCCCTAAATTTTCCATTCCAAAGATGCTCTACAATTCATACAAATTGTTTCATGAAACTGTCGAACAACTTACACTTGTGGTTTTAGCATCTCAAGCTGATTCTGAATATCTTTTTGTACTCGAGGATTAGCAGTGGCAGTAAGAGCCATCATAGGAACAGACTGAAACTTCTTGCGGAGCATATTCAGACGTTTGTAGTCTTTTCGAAAATCATGACCCCACTAGTTTAAAAACAAAAATTTAAGTATCACTGAGTAAGATGCTCCAATTACATTTTTTGCCTTAAAAAAAAAAAAAAAAAAGAACGTTTACCTGACTGACACAGTGAGCCTCATCAATGACAAAACGTGATAGTAGTTTCCTGTCATACAGGTTTTCCAGGGCAGACATCAGTCGGCCACTTGCACAAACCTAGGTACACGTTCAATAGCGGCATAAAGAAAAAAAAAGGCACAGCGTGACCCTAACTAAGAACACAGAAGCAATTGTTCTCTACAGCAAAGTTACTTTTGACTACATAGTAAAGCTTGAGAGCATAGAGATGATGGTAATCAGCCTCATTTCAATGGACAGTAAAGCAGCTGATGTGGTAATGCCATAAGATTCCAGGATCAGCTATGCAAAGGTCCTACCTGAGTAAATTAAAATGACTTATATGTCACAAAAGACAGGGAAAGACTGCTGAAGACAGCAATGTAATCAGCACATTAAACAGTCCCCTTTTACAAAGCGCTTGTGAAATAATATTTGTTTTTAAAAGGCAGCATATAATTAATTACAAGACAGTCCTTTGATATTCACCTATTACCTTGGTAGTTAGGTATTTTTCCCCCCATAATATCTTATTCAGCGTAGTCTAAATTCTAACAGCTACTCCACAGCAATTAGCTCCTAAGATGTACTAGGATATATTGAAAAGGATGGGCATGAGGTTTTGTTTTAAGATTCTAAATTTTGCAGACTTTACAGTCAACTTTCATTCTTTTTATTTGTTTTTTTCTTTGACTGAAATTAGTTGCATCTGTACAGAGTCTTGCTGAATTCTCTGTGTTTACTTCACTTTTTTTTTTTTTTTTTTTGCTAGAAGCCTACTGTGCGAGTTCAATTTTTTTCTCCTCAACCCTTTACAGCAATCTTCCTCTTGTTGCCTCCATTGCTTTAAAATTCAAATTAAGTACAAACCTTCTCAGGGGTGACATACAGAAGTTTTATTACAGGATCTTTCTTTGACAACTGCATATATATTTTTGAAGCATCAGCATCTGTTCTATCACCAGTCAGGTATGTTGCAGCAATCTACACAATACAAAAAGGTATTAACTTTTAACGTGTGCTAAACGTAGAAATCTCTCTGATATATAGTCCTACATCTAGTTACAAACCAGATGAAAAGCATACGCATTTACTATCAGCAGTGAAGACTATAAAAAGAAGCACTGAAAATGTTAATTACAGATAACGTTTAAACCTCCAGCATACTGTAGGCATGGCAGAATTTTTCTATTGATAAAGCCAAGAGACTATAAACCAAATTCTATTCTTCTGCTCCCAATTTTACCGATAGACCAATTGCCGATGCAGGGGAGTCATCTATTTTCTTTGTACTCTTTCCAAGAAAGAAAACAGAAGTGATGCTTGTTTATTGCTCAATACGCTACAAGGTTTAGATAGAATTCAGAAAGCAAACAGAGGTCTTAAGATAAGGAGCTAAGCTTCCAGGAAGCACAAAGATCACAATAAATACCCTCAATAACAGTGCCCACAGGCATGCAGTAATTTTGTGTCAGAAGAATTGAATATAACTCAGAGCAGCAATTTAGTATTAAAATTTAAAATATAACTTACTCTTCATGCTGAATAGTAACAAAGGAATTGGATCCTAAGAACACAAATGACATAAGACTAGGCCACTGAATACAATCAACCACAACAACAGAGCCAGTTCTGCCTGCTTGTCTCTTGCTCCCCTTGCAAAAGGTAGCTACAGCTCCACAGAGGGAATTCCTCCAGTGCATGCGAATTCTCAGGAGACTGAGAGTTAGTTTACCTAGCTTTTACAGCCCTGGCATCTCTGCAACGCAAAAAAGAAAAAAAGAAAAAAAAAAAAGCAAAGAGCTTGGCCAAAGCACAGAATTCTGGAGCAGTGGCAGACAACCATTCAGTGGCCACTCTAGTCAGATTATCAGAAACAAACTTGATAAGGTAAGGATTTGTCACAACTTCAAAAAGCCTGCATCACAGTCCCTTTGGTCTCACACCCCAAAACATCCCTGTATTTTTCCTCTGAAACGCTTTATCTACCTTTGTTGATGAAAGAGACACTTCACTGAAGCAAAAGCAGTTCATAAACAGAGAACTTCAGGAGCATATACCTTTTGCACTTGCTCTTCTTTCCTCTGGGTACTATTTTTTCCAGAAACGCTTAGTATCCCCAGAACCTTCCGAAGGCATTAAAAATTCCTAACTTTTTTTTTTTTTTTGGAGCCAGATCACTCCTATTTAGGTACCTAAATATAACTCTCAGAAGCTAAGAATCAGGCACGTGTATTTGAAACCTAAATTCCAGCAACGAATACACGTACACATCAATACATTTAGCAGTCAGACTATCAATAATTTCTAGCTCATCTCATTTAGATCTTCCTAGATAACTTGAATAGGCCATGCCTTTAACAGCGTCCAACTAATTAATTCTTGTAGTTCATATTTGAGAGACGTGAAATTCATTATAAACATTGCAGATTGCTAATCCGCTGACTCGTAGTTTAACTGATTAAATAAGCTGTTTGAACTTACATCTAAAGTATTCAGTTTCTGAACTTGATCAATTATCAGCGACCTCAATGGAGAGATAACAATAGTGACTCCAGTAGAAACGCATGCTGGTAGCTGGTAGCACAAACTTTTACCACCACCTGTAAGGATTAAACAGAACGCAACATATATTAGATCTTTATCTAATATGGGATAGATCTAATATGGGATTAGATCTTTATCTAATGGGAAAGAGAGGCAGGGACGGAAAAGCAGTGGAAAGAGAGTCCTGTTTCTTAGCGCTCATTTCACAGCACTTCCAGGATCATTAAAAACAATTATTCATAAAAGTTTATTTTGATATCTGTAGGTTACAGAAGAGTTATCAAGCGAAATATTATGGAAGGCACACATTTAATCACCATTCATTCAAAATACCATATGCACCACAGTGCATACAAAATTCCAGAAGTCTTGCATCCACAAAATTCAAGCAACACAATATAACACCACCTCCATAAAGGCACAGAGAGAGAAAAAGTTTCTTGTAGGCCTGGCAAAAGGAGCTTCAGTTCTTCACTTCTCAAACGTGTGCCAGGCCTCAAAAAAACTCCAGCTGCATGACACTTGTAGATACATACCAGTGGGCATTAAGATGAAACAGTCTTCACCCAGAAGAGCAGCATTGATGGCCTCCAGCTGGTTTATCCGGAAATAGTGCAAACCAAACTTCTTGTGAAATATATTCATCATTTCTTCAGAATGGGAAAATTTAATACCCCTGAAACGTTCTAGTGCTGGATTAACAACGAGTGGATCTAGTAGACAAAGAAAATGTACTTAAAGTAAGTTACAACATCAAGTTGCAGTGTATCTCCTTACAACATAAAACTACTTCAGCGTAAAGGATTGCTTAGCCACCACTTTAACTCTTCAACTTTTTTAGCCACCACTTTAACTCTTCAACTTTTTAAACTCAAATAATGAGCTACTAATAAAAATTGTATGTACTCATAATTTAAGACTGGCTAACATGCAGATTTTCATTATATGCAAATCTCAGATTTTCTGAAACAAACTTCTTGCCCATTATTGTATAAAATGCATAGTTTAATTTTAAAATAAATTAATAAAGGATACGACAGTACTCCTAGTTAGCATGATTTACCTGAAGAGTTTTTAGCTGCCATCAAGAAGCTTGATTTTGGAACAGTGGGATTTGACACAAGAGCAGATCCTTTGGCTGTTGAAATTATCTTTGAGAATAGCGACTTAGCGGGTGGCCCTTCCCTGACTGGCTGATACAATGGCGTAGATGGCTTTTCAGGGGCCGAAACATTCATTGAATTCTCCCAACTCTCATCAAAATCATCAATATCAAAATGTTCAAGATCAAAATCTGTATCCTTTATATCTACGCTGTCTTCTACATTAATGCCAGCAGGAGCTTTGTTTGGAACTTTCAAAGCCGTGCTTGTAATAGGCCTCTCAGGCAGACGCCAGTTTCCACTGTTTCTCGTCACTGCATTTTCACACCAGCTACTGCTGAAAGATGTCTCAGAACAAAGGCTGAGCGAAGTTCTTCCTTCCACATTTACCTTGGAAGAGGAAAGTTCTGTAGTTTCTGGACGGGTGATATCCCAAACAGTTTGTTTTGAAGCATAAGAGGTATTCAAGGTATCACATGCTTGAAATTTTTTGGTAGAAAAGTTGCTTGAATTAACAGTCCCAGAAGGCACTGATGAAAGTTTTGCGGATTTTGGCGAGATTCCATTAGAACTTAAACTACAATTAGGGCCAGAACAAACAGGAGTATCATGATCTGTACGAGTGTCCTGTCCCATACATGGCTTCCCCGTTCTAGCAAAAACAATGTTTATGCTACTTTTGTTCAAACTGATAGAATCAGCTAACAATTTTCTCCTGGGAGGGACAGAAAGGGAAGGAAGAAGGAAAATAAACACGTCACTCACAAGCAACGATAAACCAAATTTTACAGTATACATTAAACATTTTTGTCTCTTTTCCCTCTTCAAAATACTAGCATTTGGCTACTAGGTTGTATTTTCTGGGGAACAGAGAATAACACCAGAATTTATCTGACTAAAAGAATCAGAAAACGACTATATGTTCTCTGCAGCTTTTAAAACATAAGAATCTCTAATAGCAAAGAACTTACGCAGGCAAGGCAGAGCATGGAAAGTTTTTAAAGGCACAGAACTTAAAGAATTAAAAATACGCACGAACTAAATTACTTTTTCATGTGCTTTCTAAAGACTACAACTGACTACTGTAACAAGAGCAAACAGGAAATAGGATAAGTTAATTTTACAGAGAACTTTTTAAAAAAAAAAAAAGGACATGGTCCCAGTCCAATAAAAAGACAAAACAAAATCCCAAATCTTAATAATTTCTCTATGTATTGTATCATTAGTTTATACAGAATTTAAAGAAGCAGACTGCGGAAGCAACATTCAAAACTGAAAAGTGACATTTATGTGGATATTAGGAGTATTATAATCAGCGATAACAAGTCTCAGAGGGAACAATAAATTAATCCCTCAAGTTATAAGAAATCAGGGGGAACCCTAGAGTGGAGGACAGATTATACCATATCACCCTGCTTCTTTGGAAGCATTTGGTACTAGCTACCTTCCAGAAGGGAATATTCAGGACTTCCTGTGCCTCAGCTTGAAGGTAGAATTGGAATCTTTCTTCAACTCTTTTGGCAGAATACCGATAGTTTCAGCACGTTTTTGGATTTTTTTTAATTAAAATTTCATTTGGAGAGTAATTTTAAGTTTTTACAAATCGTTCTGTACCTTCTTTTCAGTGCGATGGAGACACCTACAGGCACGCTACTGCTTCATACAAAACTAAAGGCTGTTTATTAAAACGTACCTGAGATCTCTCTGCTGAAGAAGTTCTTTTGCACATGACAGATACTTAAGCTCATGAATTGGAATGGCATCTACCAATTTACAAATATCATCCATGACACTGTAGAGTTGTTGTTCCAAATGCAAGCCTTCATCTGCAAAATGTAGCGGATTTCAGCATACAGTACTACTAACTTTTATTAGATCACAGTAGTGAGGTGATCTCAATCTATCTCTCAAAATACAGAGTAAATTGCAATACATAAGTCTAAATTTTCTTTCAATATATTTTAAAACTAAAAGGCTATTAGCATATAGAAATTGGTTTTGCGTGTGCAAATTCAGTTAGGCTACATATTTTTGTCCTTGCCTTTGTCCTATACCCATCTGTATATAATTTCCAAACCATTTAATAGTTTTTTTCAGATTTATTACCAAAACACACTCAGATTTATATGTTCGACTTACCCCAAATTACCTCTCCCCTAAAATACAACACATTTTAACAACACATTATGTTGCAATTCTACTCTATTTCAAATTTGGTGCCACTGCAAACTATCCAGATTTTTGACAATGAATTGCACTGTACCTCAAACTGCTAACCAGGAGCACGGCTCCTCACGCTAAATTCCGACCTCTGCTACACTTGCCTAACTCTGACTTATCGCGGTGGTAGGAATATTGCCTCTTGCAACAAGCTAACATCCAAATTGATCAAAAATTTGTTACATGTATACTAAAGAAATGGATTGATCTCTGCAACAGCATATTCTTTATAACACTACTCTGGGCATTCATAAGCACAAATTTTAAATGATACTGTAGACAACAGTACATCTTCTATATAACTGAAAGCAAAGTCTGAATTTGCAGTCTTAAACCATAGTTCACACCTACACTTAGTAACTTTTCATTCCGCAAGTCAAACTCAGATATATTTTGGTTCAGTAGCTCCCAAAGTCAGTACCTGTAGGAATCAAATGGAAGAACTGCAAACAGCTCAAACTTATAGTGAACTTTGTGTTATAGCTGACTTCAGGAACTGAAAGGGAAGTTCTGAAAGGGAAGCCTGTTACATATCCTGCATGGTAGTGACAATCCAGGAATCAGAATCAGACGCCGCTTTTGAATCAACATGATGTATATCCAAGTTAAATAGTAAGGCAACATCTGAAAATTCTGTACAAGACTTAATCCTCTGCTTCCTTGTCCTGATCATCGTTAGCTAATGCTCTCAAATTACAAAGAACACTTAGGAGAAAAAGTAGTTTTATATCATTCCCAAAACCTGAGACATAAAACGTCAAAACATTTCAGATACCTGCATCCTCAGTACTGGTTTCAGCAATAGGCTGCTTTGTGGCAATCTTCTCAGGCTCAGACTCAATGCTAGTAGTTGTTAATCTTCCACCAGTAGGAGAGTCTTTGAAAATATTGCTAATATTAAAAGGAAAAGTCATTAGAATATGGGTATCTATAAATCAAACCATTTCCATAAGAGACATTTCTCTTTTAAAATAACAGCATTTAAGGCACGTGTAATAGATCAACAAACAAATTTCTCAAAAGGCAGTTAAAATCCAAGTAAGTAGCTGAGCGGAGTTAGTCACTCCTCCTGTGCGCCATCTTGTAGAGGCTTGTTTCATTAAACGTTCCCCCCCCCACACACACACAAAAGGAAAAACAACCGCACTTATTCTGAAGCAAAGGCCACCTTAAACTTTGGCCATAAAAAAATGTATTTTATCAGACATTAACAGCTGCCAACTGCTAACCTGCAAAGCAAAAGTCATGGTCCATCAACTCAATCAGTAATTTTTCAACAAGCACTAGTTCTTACGTCTGTTTTGGTAGGGATTTTAAAATCATTCCAACTGATATACAGTTTTATCAGCGAACTTTGTTTTACCTAATGTTTTTTATGGAAGGTGAGAAGGAAGGCAACTCTGCCTCTGGGGAGGGTGGAACGATATCGCAGTAATCTTCATCTTCAAACTCAGCGCTGGCAAATGGCTCATTGCCAGTTTTATCCAGTTCTGGCTGGATGTTCTTCTCACCGTTGCTTAGCTTCTGGCTTTCACCATTCTTGTTTTTAACATCAGCAGCTGAAAGAAGTGTATTAATATTGCTGGGCAACACTGTAAACTCATTCTGGAATAAACAAATTGCAATCAAATAGCAGAATACTACCCAAATTTCAAAATAGTAGCTTAATGCGGTTTCTGAAATTTAAAGGGCAAGGATATAGTTACTACTCCCCTTTTCTCCTCCTTCAAAAAAAACCCCCAAGCAAATAAGAGAACAAAAAGAACAAACAAGCACAAAACCTTCTAAGCGTAAAGCTTATATAGCTTGCCTGTAATTACCTTTCCCTGATAGAAGAGAAAAAAATAGCTTCTTCACATTTTTTTGAGGTTTATTTTCCTATGAGAAATTTTATAGGAAACTATTGTTATATTAAATACTAAGTTACATTAAGAAGAGCGTAGCTACAACACTAAAAAGCCTCACTTAAGCAGCACGGTCCCTATACTGGGATTAGAACACAAACCTAGATATATAGCATCTTGTGAGGCAAGTCCTACTAAATAAGGCTAATATCATTAACCTATTTTGATTTATTTCACAGAAATAGGAAAAAAAAGTTACAGGATAGCCTTAAGAAGAAAAAGGCATGGATTTCAGAAATCCTTTCCCGTGTTCCCCATTTAGTGTAACAACTGTGTTAGAGAATATTGTTCAGTATCATTCAGTTGTATAAACACCTATTAACACAAGTAACAAACAAAAGTTTCCAAAACTTAACAAGTAAGACATAAAAAGCTAAGTGGAACACAGCTGCCAAGAAAGCATTCTGATTGATGTTTTTGAACTTTCCAGTCATAATCTATTTTTACATGACTATAAATGTCTTTTTGTTGTTTAATATTTCTCATCGTTACATTTAGGCGTAAGATATTTTAGGTCTTACTTGCACGAATTGCAGAAGTGCTACTCTTTCTATAACATCCCTATAGATTATTGTTATTTATTTTTGGAATGTCTTACGGAAAGTCTTGCAACTCCAACAGCACCGCCCAAGACTGCTACTGCAACTACTTCTGCCACAGAGAAAGCGCTTCACTACGAGCTCCTGTACATTGGCAAATGGTGTTTACTGAAGCAAAATCCACGTACCAAAGACCGCTTTTCAGATACGAGAGCGCAACTCCCTCTGATTTCACTAAGAGCTACGTAAAGTCTACGTTTCTGAAAAATCAAGTCCTCAACGAGCAAACACGAATGTATTTTCTCCTAGTTCAACAGTACTTTAAAAGTACTTTAAAATAAATTATTACCTGCATCAGCTTCTTCCCTTTCATCGTGTGAAATCACTTCTGCAGATAAACTCTCTTGAAGATCCTCACCTGCAGTCTTGCTACGGTTGCAGGGAACTTCATCCCCAAGACAAATCAAAGACCCCTGAGATGAGCACTGTTGCTCATCATCAGGAGATGTTTCATTATGCTCAGAAGTGCTACGCTTTAGAGGTGCCGTGTCATTCGTCACGGTCCCAGGTGACCTCAGTAGCTTGTTCACAGAGGAGTGCGATCTCTGAGGATCCTTGCCACTTGTCTGACTTTTGGGGGATAAAATTGGTCTGGAATACTTCTTATCAATTCCTGATAAATCAAAGTCATCTATATCGTCCCACTCATCTTCTACGGTAATAACAGAATCGGCCAAACGACTGAGGTCGGTTCCCTGCGAGGAGGCACAGCCGGTCCTCCTTCCAGACGTAGGTACATCTTTCAAAACTTGCTGGAGACACTCCAAGGAATCTGCAAGCGCCTGGCTTGCGCAGGACGCCTTTAACTCCTGTCCACTGGATGCCTTTGGAAAGAAGTCTTGGATTTTTATCTTCTTATCCTTGAACGCAGGAAGGGATGAAAAGGGTTTGCTCAGTGAAGTATTAACATCCTTATCCTTCAGCGCTGAAACGCTCGGTGCGCCGAGGCACTCTCCGGATGGCGCACTGGCTGGCAAGGCTCTTTTCTTGAATGTAAAACCTCTGGAAAGAAGAGGTCATTGTGTTAGTTTCTTCAGCGTATCCATGCTCCTGGGAATTGAATGTATTTTCCATTTAAAGCCACAAAAACCATAACCAGGCAGGAGAGCAGCAGCACCGCAGCGGGGAGGCCGCGCCTGCTACGGATCGGGACCGAGACCAGGAGAGAGACCAACAGTGTCGAGGTCAGGCCAGGACACAGGACGGGACCGGACAGGGCCAGGATGGAACCAGAGCCAGGGCCTGGAGCAGGGACTGGGACCAAGGCCGGGACCGGACAGGACTTGGCCAGGGCCTGGAGCAGGGCCCAGGGACAGGGACAAGGACAGGGATTGAGGCTGGGACGGAACCGGGCCAGGGACTGGGGCCAGGACCGAGACTGGACCAGAACCAGGGCCTGGAGCAGGGCCCGGGACCAGGGACTGGGATGGAGGCTGGGACCGAACCGGGCCAGGGACTGGGGCCGGGACCAGGGACTGGACCAGAACCAGGGGCTGGACCAGGGCCCGGGACCAGGGACTGGGATGGAGGCTGGGACGGAACCGGGCCAGGGACTGGGGCC